GAAGTAGAAACAGATAGCAAGGAGTTTAAAAATGTCCACTAATCTCCGTGTGCTACGAGTCACACAAAATGAAGTTAGCTTTGCTGTTTTGGTTTTTGTTATTGCTGGAGGTTTTTTACCTTTCAGAGAACTGTGTTACAGTAAAACATGACTTTCTTATATGTCTGAGCTCGTTGACTGCTTTTTTTTCATTAAAGCCTGAAAGATGTTTAATTAGTCTTCATTTGCTTAAGGRCAGAGCAGGTATCTGACCAAACCAAAATAGCAGGAGAGGCAACACCGCACGTGTCAATTGTGTTTCTCTCTATAAGTTCTTAGTCTTAATTCTCTGCCTACAAAAAAACTGTACAGAACACTACCACATCTTTTCATTCAAATATAACAGGTTATTAAGAACACAAAAGAGGGGGTCGGCAATAGAAACAAATGACTGCAAATCACAAAAACCAATTTTAGTGTCATTGGTGAACACATTTCAAGTACTCTACTGCACACTTACTGTTCTAGGCACTGAAACAGGGGCCATCAGATACCTCAGCTGTACCAGGTAAAGAAGGCTAATGTTTACCTTGTCATCACTTGCTTTCTACTCCTGAGCTTCCCAKCTCCAGAAGAGCCCTCCAATTTTAAGATTATGGCTATAGCCATAAGAGTCAATATAAAGTACACTTGAAAACTTTCAATAAATGTACAAATCATTTATTTAAAATTCAAAACTCAGAGATACAAACAAAATACTTAAGAAACAATAAATCCAAAATGGAAACACTTATAGAAAATATATGAACTGTACCAATTTAACCACCCACCATTCTTCACAGAAAAACAGCAAGAGATAGAAAGACAAATCAATACCCAATTGTTCTTTTTTTCTCAAATTCTAGTTTAGAGGTAGAGTACTCCTGTGAAAGTCTCAAAAAATTTAATTCAGCAGAATTATGCTACAAATGAATTTGGCCCATATACTTACAAACGTAATGAAGCCAGAAAAAAAGATACTTACTGAGAGTTTATACAATAAAATTTGGCATGGCACTTTCCAAGAGATAAAGCACCTTTGCTGATAAATACTGGCTTATGTTTTTGCAAGAAAGGGATCATGTGCATTTTCCATTACTGAYAAAGAAAACATTTAAAAATAGGCAGAGTCCCAACCTTTTGGTAGGCATACAGAAAGCAAGTGTTTATCAGTAACTTGTCCTATAAAGCCAATCTTGGGGAATGTGTAACTATTAAAGAAGGCATTTTGAAAGACTTTATGAATACTTGATGCATACTTATTTGGGTGGCACAGTCCTCAAGGGGGAAAAGAGGGGAATTAATTTAACAGTGGAGAAAAAAAGTGAATTTTCCTTTAGCAGGTGAACTGACCAGTTTTTACATTTTATTGTCATTCATTCAGTCTCCACTAACTGCTACAATTCTATCCTCTCAGGAAAAAGTGTATCTGTGTGAGACACACTAGAACATAAAGTTCAGTAAAGATTACCCAGGTAGCCTCAAAGGAACATATATTCCATTTTTGTTCATCAAATAACCTGCAACAAGCAGAAATTAAAATTGGAATTCTTCAGACAATATATACAAATTTATTTAAAAAACAGGAACTATTTGCAACCTCAAATATAAACATTATTCGTTAAAAAAAAAAAAAACAAACTTTTATACAGAGACTGGCTGCTAAGCGCATTATTTAAACTGCTGCATGCAAATAGTAGAACCTATGGTTATTTAAGAAAYGTAACTATCAACAACTGTTAGGCTTCTGCAATTTAGTTTAGAAAGGACTTTCTCAAATATTTGCTGAAGATTCAGAAGCAGCAAAATAAAATTTGCAATCTTAATGTCTTCTTGCTTTATGGGAAATAGAACCACTTGTCCCAGCCTTCAGAAAAAGACAAAAGAGTAATTTCTGTCACAGACTGGCTGAAAATAGACTTGCATGTGCCAACAATCTCATTTGGGGCAAAACTACTTGTGTGGTATAGTTTAAATAGTCTGAGCTATATTATCTGATTTTTCTGAAGCAAATTAAAGAAGCATTCAAACTGTATTCACAACAGAGCTGGCAACATTACCTGGCAAATAACCAAGTTATCTTTCCCACTAACACTGCAGGATCATTTCAGGACAAAATACAAGAGATAAGCTTTTCTTCTACAAAGTACATTCTTCTGCTGAATATGAAGCCTTGCAAAAGGAAAAGAATACAGTATTAACTCGTGAAAGTTTCAGACATATTTTAGGCCTTCTAATTCCTTCATGAAATTTCCATCATATCCAAAGGAAACTGTGCATCCCTATCCAGGTAAAAGAATATTACATACCTAGATTAAGGAAACTTATCTAAGATGAGTARATGCTAAGCCATATATTAAACTATGATACTTCCACATCATGATTCTTTGAGTGCTCAAAACAGACTGAAAGAAGACAATGTTAAGTATACATCCAGTTTTATTCCTTATTTTTCTACTGTATCCTTCATTATGTTTTTCCCTGTATGTATTTCAATGGTCAGGATGAAAATATTTTCTGTATATACAAACTAATTACATTTAACCCTGCAAAAACTAATCCAAAACTTCACCATTCTTTGATTTCTCTRTATTTAGGCAACTCATCTTCTACACATGCAAGATACTTTTCAGAACATCAGAAAAAAATTTTCTATATTTCAGTTTCCCCAAGAAAATAAGATAAAGYTGATTATTTGCTGGTACATGCTATGCTGTACCTGCATAAACCCACTTTTGGATATACACRTTACACATTAATAAGGACAACAGCTAACCAAGGCATTAGTCAAAATAAGTTGCCTTGCCTTTGTGCTTACAAGTCCTAACAAAGGAAATGTCAAGAAACATCTAGGGCTTCCATGAAAAATYTGCTTGCAGCAAGTTTTCCCTCTTTGACACCTCCAAAATTAAAGGCRTTTCACCTCTAACTGTGCAGGAAAAGTGAAAATACAAAACAGCAACAGCTATATGCTCCCTTAGTGTTTTCAGTAAGTGAAACATTGTTATCCAGGCAGTGSTCTAGTTTCTCCCAGGTCTTGCATTGAAGCACTCTGCCATGAAAGAGACCTTACTRCTTCATTATACCTAACCACTGCCTCCAGAATGTAAAATCCAACAACTGTTTCACAGATTGAAACAATTCCTCCYTCATAATCCAAAGAAAGTCTCTTTGAATTCTGGGGGTTTTTATATAACTTACTGGCATTCAAAGAGCTATGTCGTATGAACTGCAGATCCCCCAAGCATGGCAGATTTCAAACCAAGTTCAGAACCTTCAGAGGACAAGGATATGATCATGTGGACTACACACTGCTTTGCCCAGGTAAACTGCTGTTGTGAAACATTAATACACCTGTGCCATTTTAAATAAACAAGCACAAGTGTGCTCTAAGATCTAATTATTAATCTGGTCCTGCTACAAACGTGCTGTAACTACATGCAGTTTTAAAAAGACAGCACATTAAGAACCCACTACCTCAGTTGTTTGGGGTTTTCTTTAWTGTTCCCATATATGCAAGGCACAGTCAAAGGTCAGCCTGACTGCACTGACAGCTCTTTGGAGAAGTTGGTGCCCTAGAWCTTTATTGGGGTGGGAGAAAAAGAGATGATGGCTACTCTATACACAGAGGCAAGCTTTATTCTTCCAAGGTGAACTTCACCACGGGGAATGTGGCTGGTAAAAGTCCATTACACCATTCATGYTCTAAATAAAAGCTATTTTGAGRCCTCAAGCAGATACTGGCTTCATACCAAATTCCTGAGTAGTGGTAAATTTCAGCTTGGAACCTAAAGCAGACATGCAACCAAAGCTTTCACAAAAACTAAATTATTTTACAYGGTAACATGGCCTTAAGAGTCACATTAAAAGAGCTCTAGCTGGTTTTAGTGACACCATAGCACCAGAAGTTAACCTGTGGATYCAGAGAATTACAATAAGCATGTGTCTTTTTAACTGAGAAATAAACATTAGCAAACAATTCCCACACTGGCCTTCCAGGACACATTGCAAAATGCAGCATCARCAAATGCAACTGATCCCTGTAAATCACAACATCAACTTGTATTTCACTACTGTCCATTACAAATCACATAGCAAAACAGATTTCCCTTGTCACTGTTGAAATATACCAAGATACCTGATCCTTTTCCATTAAAAAACAGAGCACAGCAATGGCTGGGCAAGATACAACCCTGTTGCTTTCCCAGTGTTTAAGTGGAAAGCATAGCCTAGGTATCTCAGCACATTTGCTAACAGGGAAGAAATACAACCTTTTATCCACATCTAATTAAAATGTMAWWWAMYKG